TGTGTTGACACCACCTTGTAGGTCCAGCTGTACCTGTTTTCTTGTACATCTACAATGAACTGATGGACACATCTCTGTCAGCATGCAGTGGGTGTCCTAAGCTGGAAGCTGGCGGGCTCTGCTGGGGGCAGTTCGTGCCTTTTTAGGTGTACACAAGACGACTATTTGATTAGGCAAAACCATGACAGTTATTGGCAATTAAGTGTGGTTAAGGAGGTATATAGGGGTGCCCAGATGACAAGGACTAGATGGGTAGGGCTACAGTCCCAGTTATTCAGCACACACACTAACCTAGGTGTCTGTATGAAGGCCTTTCTGGTTTTGTGTGTGTGTGTGTGTGTGTGACTAAGATTTGAACTCAGGGCCTACACCTCAAGCCATTCTGCCAACCCTTTTTTGTGATGGTTTTTTCAAGATAGGGTCTTGTGAACTATTTGCCCAGGCTGGCTTCGAACCAAGATCCCCCGATCTCTGCCTTCTGCATAGCTAGCATTACAGGAGACGAACCAGGAGCCCCCGCCCTTTCTGTTGTTTTGAGACAAGGTGCCGCTCTGCAGTCCAGACTATCCTGGAACTTGCAGTCCTCCTGTGACAAAAGTGCATGTCAGCTGACTGTAGGTGGGAAAGGCCCATGTCTTTGGGGGCTGGGCAGGACTGACTCAGCTAGACGGGGAGTACCAAGGCTTCCCTGAAGAGGCTCCCTCATTGGACCACCATCCTGCCCCGCACCTGGGATGTCCACACACAACACGTAAGCTGGCCACCTTCCCAGTTTTCCGGTGTAGGGCCTGGGCTCTGGGTGAATCAAAGAGGTCTCTGTGCTCCTAGGGTTTCCTTGCAGACATGGGGTCCAGGACAGGAGGCTGCTGGGTGGTGACATGGGAACCAGGGCACCAAAGGTGCTGGGTGGGGCAGTTCCCCAACCAGGCTGAGTCACTTGGGCCTTTCACAGTCTGACAGCTGGGCCTGGGCTGGTGGCTCCGCCCGGCACTTGCCCAGGCCTGAAGGCCACGGCTGAACTCCCCAAAGCTGGTGGGGAAGTGGGGTGCTGGTGGGGGCCCCCTCCCCAGGCCCTGCTTCCCGGAGCTGGGTTCTTCCCCAGGACTGATGATTCACCCCTGCCAGTGCCTTTTCACTTCTCCTTTGGGGCTAAAAAATACAAGGACCAGGCGCTCAGCTGAGCCTAGCCTCCCCATGCATTGCACAATGCCCTCTTTAGAGTCCCGCTGACGCAGGGGATGGGCGGGGGCCTGGGCTGCTCCTGAATCTGGGTGTGCTGAGGTCAGGGCGAGACCCCTCCACTTTTCTTTTCCTGGGCCTGCAAATCCTGGGCTGGGTTACATGGGAGGAGCTGTGGGCTCTAGGCTTGGCTGTGGCCCTGGAAGTGAAGTCTCTTCCCCGAGTCCCACATAACTCAGGGTTCAGCACCCTTCACAGACAGCTGGGAGCTGGGGCAGAAGACAGCACAAGGGAGCTGGGAGAATGAGGCAGAGAGATACAAGATCACAGGGCTTAGACAGAAAGGGAGGCAGAGAACAACAAAAAGGAAGAAAGAGAGACGCAACAGAGGAGACTGAGGAACTGCTAGAGAAAGGAGCAGTCACACTGGAACAGACTCCAGAAGGACTGAATAAGTGTCCAGCTAGAGTGCCACACCCAAGCCTGGTTTGGGGGGGAGGTAGGCCCTGGAACAAAGGTGATTAAGCCCCCAGTTCAAAGTTCAGCCTAGGCCTGGGAGGGAGGCAGGAGGCAGCAAGAGCCTGGCTGGCATTGCCTACAGGTCTCTGCTGCC